AGTCATCTGTCCACAGAGAAATAGTGTGTTCAAGATATTAAAGAAAAAGAGTAAAACAGATCCAAATCAAATGCAATTTGATGATGATGATGATGATGATGATGATGATGTTTTTAAATGATACAATTTAAGATAACAAAAAGAGTTCTAAATCTAGCATAAGTGATCAGCATCTAAAAATGCAATTTGTCTCACACTCTACCTGCTCCCAGGTTTTTTCAGGTAGCAGAAGAAATTGTAAGCTGGATCTCTTTCACTACAGACATTATGATGGAAATATCTAACTTCCTTGAAGACTTGTAAGGCTGAAAGGGAGAGCAAAAGCATCTGGCACTATAGCACAAATTAGTGTATATTGGTGCTGCTTCTACTACTGTTATTGATTACATGAAGTCATGGAGAGTTGAAAATGGAAAACTGTGCAGGTTTATTTATTTGATAAATATATAGGGTGAAGCAAAAGTCATTTGGTAAAGACCTATGCTGATCAACTATTGAAATTGTTGGAATAACATATCTATTTAGTAATTTATTTTTAATTGTTTTGCTACCAGTTTAACTCTTTATTTTTTGTTAATAAATTACAGCTATGTATAATTCTGTGTAATAAGCAAATTTAACAATGGACTTTTGCTTCATGCTGTATACTCTGCATTTCAGTAAAACAAGTCCAAACAAGGTAATGGAATCATCATTAATCTATCCACTTTCACCATAAATAGCAACATAATAAAAGTGTCTAAAATCAGTTTAAAAGTAGAAAGAAAGGCATTTATTTAAAAGCATAAATAAACAATGTTTGTTAAAATAGCTATAGAAAAGATGCTGACTCACAATGTAACTTTTGGAAGAGGGGGTAGACCAGTATGGTCAAGGACTGGCAACAGGAGATCACTGTAGGGGATGTTCCAAGTTTTTCCAAGTTATCTTGGAAAATTTGTGAGAAAGCACTGGGCAAGCTCAGGGGGACCGAGCCAGTTATGAAATGCCATCTCATTTTAAATCTGTGAAATAAAGAGCTGAAAAAGACTACCCCCAAATCTGTACCCTACAAAAGTTGTTCCCATTTGTGTTCTCACATAATCTTGTCAGCTAGATTTCACTGCTAGGCATCTGTTGCTTTCATAACCTAAATGTGAAAGAAGATTTCCTTTACTTTCTGTGCCTCTGCTGTGCTTCCTGCTTTCATTTACTTCAACTGTGTAATATTTACAATATAATATTGTTGTACAATGTAAAATTAGATTGGGACTAAAATATTTGGTATCACAATGTTTTTAACAGATTCTTAAACCTAAAATTCAGGCAAAAAGTAAACATTGCTTAAAGATAGTGGATGGGAAGGTGGGGTGACTGATATACTAATATATGGTTGTTGTTTTTTTTAATATGCCTGAAGTATGGTGAATGTGTCAGATACATGCCCATCCAGCTTCAGAAGCTTACAGTCACCCTTCTGTTTTTCACAGACTTCAAATCCGTGTCCTGCGATTATCCGTGGGCAGGAAACAGAGGGCGACAATGGGGCTTGAATATTGGCGAGTTTATGTTGTTGTGGGGGGGGGGGGGCTCTGAAAACAGAAGACCAACTGTGTGTGTGTGTATATGAGAAAGTGATTTATGATTGGTGTGTTTCTCTGTGTTAAGTGTGGTCATGGGAGGGTTAGTGCTATGTCTGTCCTACTGTAAGATTAGTAATAGATGGGTATAAATAAGGGGTAGAATAAGGAAGAAGGAAATAAATACATTTTGTATTACATTTGAAAAAAATAAAAATCCATGAATGAAAGTGCATTCCTCCTTATACCTTATTATGGTCATAGGCCTTTTCTGGAACTAGAGGACTTAAAGTTTGAACCAAACTGAAAGGCATACAATTTTCTACCATGTTGATAAACAGCAGCAGATGTTTAAAATATGCATTATATTTTCTGTAGATTGACAGACGGCATCAAAGCAAAGACTCTGTTTTCTTCAGAGATGGTAATCGACGAATAGACTTTGTACTGGCTTATGTGGATGATCCAAAAATAGAAGGGGAAAAGAAGACGGTAAGTTTCTTTCATGGCAACTTCTGAAAGAGCAGTATAGGGAATGTTAGATCTGAAGTGCGAGCAGATGATATTCCAGTTGTCCCAGGGTAGAACAAGATATCAGAAGATGGGCCTCACCATCTTCTTGCCATGCCCTGACTCTCTGCCATCATAGGGATTTCTCTGTACAGAAAGAGACACAGTGTGATCAAATCATACTTCTCTATGTATGAAAAACATCCCTTTCACTACCAGTGGAAGGTAACCTTTCTTCTAATGATGGGAGAAGTATCCTCACTCTTGTATGTCATCAGCTCTCAGTGATAAGAGAGGAGAGGTCACAGCACTAGTGGAAGACTGCTTTTCTCAAGTGCTTGGAATTCCCACTTTTTTTTTTTATCAGTGATTGGAGCAGGGATTCCTTTATAGAAAGGGTGCCCTGTGTTAGAAGCAGTTTTTCTGTAGTGCTGGGTGATGTCATCACAGATGGGAGAGAAAAAAAAAAACACAGATTCTTCTCAAAACATTAGTAAAAGCAAATGTTTGATAAATTATCAAACAACTCTGATGCTAGGAGAAGGGTGAGGTATGAAAGGGAACACCAGAAATTTGGGTGTGCTCTGTAAACCAGAGATTTTCCAACTCTGATGTAGACATGTTTTTGGGTTTTCTTTTGTTTTGTTTTGGTTTGGGTTTTTTGGAAATGTTTTAAGTTGGTATCTGATATGGACTAGAAGTTGCTAGTTCTTAATTGTTGCATTGTTCATTGGCAATTATTAATATTCTGTTGCATATTTAATATTATTGCTGTTCTGATCATTCCAGATTGTCTATATGTTGTGTGTTTGTGCGTGTGCATAGCTCTACGCACCAAATACAAATAATTTAGCTTTGAAAGTTAAAATATGTTGCCTGTTAAATAGCAGTAACAGTTTCATAAACAAGGGAAAAATCTCTCTCTCTTTCTCTCTCTCTCT